GGGGGGGGGCGAGGCAGGAGCAGCGGCTTCCTGGCCGGGTCCCTTGTTGTTCTTTGAAGGCCCCGCTCAGGCTCGGACTAAGGTTCAGGCCCAGGCCCGGGCCCGGGCTCCAGGCTCAGGAGGCTTTGAAGGCTCCGCTCAGGCTCAGACTAAGGTTCAGGCCCAGGCCCGGGCCCGGGCCCAGGCTCAGGAGGCTTTGAAGGCGCTCCGGACAATCTTCTAATAAAACCATCCAAGAATCACAAGGTCTTAAAAACTCAGGTTCCAAGCAGATCTGTAAGAAAAAAATGCCGTCGAGGTCAGGCGCTGATGGCTCACGCCTGTCAGCCTCTCAGGAGGCTGAGGTTTGAGGATGGCAGTTCAAAGCCAGCCAGGGCAGGAAAGTCCATGAGACTTATTTCCAACGAACCACCAGAAAACCAGAAGTGGCACCATGGATCAATCAGTAGAGCACCAGCCTCGAATGAAAAGCTGAGGGACAGCACCCAGGCCTAGAGTTCAAGACCCACAACTGACAAAAAACAAATTGGTGAGGCCAAAGCTTAAACATGAGGTAAAGGCTGCAATGGAGCTCAGTGGCAGAGTGCTTGCCTAGCAAGTACAGCATGCTGGGTTCAATCCCCAGTACAGGAAAAAAAAGGAAAGAAAGGAAGAAAGAGAAGAAAGAAAGGAAAGAAGAGAGAAAGGAAATAAAAAGGAGGAAAAAGGAGGGAGGCAGGCAGGCAGAGGGAGATGGAAGGAAGGAAAAAAAGGAAGGAGGGAGGAAGGAAAAAAGGGAGGGAGGAAGGAGGGAAGGAGCAAGGGAAAGGATGGATGAAAGGAAGGAGGGAGGAAGAAGGGAGAGGGAGGAGGGAGGGAAGGAGCGAGGGAAAGGATGGATGAAAGGAAGGAGGGAGGAAGAAGGAAGGAGGGAGGGGGAGGAGGGAGGGAAGGAAGGAAAAAAGGGAGGGAGAGGATGGAAGGAAGAAGGGATGGAGGAAGGGAGGGAAAGAGGATGGAAGGAAGGAGGGGAGAGGAAGGAAGAGGGGGGAGGAAGGCAGGCAGAGGACAGGATGAAAGGAAAAAAGGAGGGAGGGAGGGGAGAGAAGGAGGGATGGAGGAGAAAAGGAAGCAGGGAGGGAGAGAGGAGGGAAGGAGGGAGGGACCCACAGAGGAACGGCTTTGGGAAGGGGGTTCCTTATTTTATCTCTCCCTCTACCTGGGTCTCTACGCTTTGAAAGCTGCCACTAGACTAGCGATGGGCTGGCAGGTCCCCGCCAGCAGCTTCTAGGAATGGATAGGTCCTGAATTATTTACTTTTAGAGCTTCCTGTGAGGTGTAGGGTCGCAATTTGGAATCCTCGAGCAAAAACAAACTCAATACTGTAAGTTGGTTCAATGTGGGCCTGTCTCTCGACTCGGCAACATTAGAGTTGAGGCAGGCTGCTGGAAGGCTCCCCGAGAGCGTTGCGAGCTCTCCTTAGGCCATCTGCATGGAGGACCCTGCTCCTCCCGTCCTCCGCTGACCCTTGCAACTACTGCACTCGGTGGCAGCCCATCTCTACAGAGTGCTGGACGCACCACCCATCCCACAACCACCTGTGTGGGGAAACGTGTGATTTCTTAAGAGGGCCGACGCTCTGGCTCAGACTAGAAGAGCCCTGGAGGGCTGGCCCCGCTGGAGGCCCCCATGTCTACAGCATCCTTTGCAGGACTGCACACCTCTGCCTGGCCTTTCCCAGAGCCCCACACCAGCCAGTGCTGCTGCCACGTGCCAGACAAAGAGCTTGCTGCAGAGCAACCGCCTGGCCTGCCAGTGCCCTCAGGACAAGAGCAAGCAGCCAGGGCTCTGGCCCAACGCCAGCTGGGGAGAGGGGCATGCCCCCTGTGGTGCTGGTGTGAGCTGCGGGGAACTGGCCCCCAGACCTCCACTTCAGAGTCCAATCCGCACATGAGGATACTCAGAGAGCTCCATAGAAAGGTCTGGACTTGAAAAGCCAGATTTTTTCCCCATAAGTTGTGTGCAGTGTAGCCGTTAGAAATCAAACCATGAGCTGGGAGAGATGTAATGGAAAGATGGACAGGAAGCCCGAGAACTCATCACGAAAGGCGGCAGCCCTGCTGTGTGGCCAGGCGTGCTAGTGCAGGGTCAGCAGGCCACGTGCTCAGCGACTCAGGCCTGGCAGGCACAGGAAGTACCGCCACTTCCACCTGGAAGCCCTTCCCTTCAGAGACTGCTTGTTTATTCTCACACGATGGGCGTTTCCTAAAGGATAAACAAGAGTACTGTCTAATAGCCTATGTGATTCAGAATCAGTGAAGCAGCAAACCTGTGGTGCTTCTCTATGAAGGCCCTAGCACCACTGAGATCTGTAAGCCTCGCTTCCATATGCCTCAAAGAATTTAGAGGTGAAAGCCAGATGTGACTGGAAGTTGCTTGAATCGGTGAGGGTCAAGAAGAAAAGCAAAGGGTTTGAGGACGCAGGTCTGTGGTAGAGTCTCTCCTAAAGGGTGAGGCCCCAGCTTTGGTCCCCAGCACTTCAAAAAACAACCCAGACAACCCCCAATTTTTAAAATCCCTTCCTCAACCATTCTGATTCCTCTTCTAGATTATTTACAAGACTGGTCACAAGTTGTCAATAATTGCTTTATTGAGCAGCTGAAAGGTACGTAGCATTGAACATAACTTGACAATCTATTGCTTTTGTCATTTCCCCAGTAAAGGCCATTTGTGGTTTTGTGGGTTTTTCCTGTAGCATGCAGGAAACAAGCCACTAGTGTCTCCATGCAGTGCTGACCGCAGTGACCGACAGGTCCGGCTTGAGCCCCGTGGTCACCCTTTAAATTCCCTAAGGCCTGGCACTATTCATCTCTGCGGCCCAATGCCCAGAACATTTGCTAGAGGAATGAACATGGGAAATGAAGAGTCTTCATTCTGGTTCCATCTCCCAGATTCCCAGGTCACAGCCCCGAGAGCCAGGGAACCCTGACATGGACCTGAGACGGGGGCCCACACACCTCCGGCCCTGTGTGCCAAACACAGTAGCTGGCTCACCCTCCTTCCGCCCTGCTACAAGCTCGTCTTTAAGATGCTGCATCACCTCTCCCACCCGCCAGCAAAGGGTTAACACAGGGCGCTCACCACTGCCTTCTGGAAGGTTATACCCCACGAGTGGACTTCACACTTGGTCCTTTTTTTTTTTGTCTTTTCTTTTTTGGTACTGCGTATCGAACTCAGGACGTTGCGCTTGCGAGGCAAGCGCTTTGCCACTGAGCTACATCCCAGCCCCACTTGGTCCTTTTCTACGTCAGAGAAATTCTTTGGAACACACACACACACACACACACACACAAACACACAGAGACTCTAGACAATTCCATTCCAGCTATGGAAAGAAAAGTTTGTTTCTCTTACTCTCAATTTTAGGAAATGACATACTTGATCAAAAACTTGAGACACCCTCTCAATCTAACTGGAATGAATGGGACACTAATGTTTCCTGGCTTTAAACATGCTATAAAATAATTTTCCAAGACATATGGTTTTTAAGTTTTATATACATATATTTTCCTTAGATGGCCAGAACTTACTTTCTTTTAAAACTCTGTCTTTCCCATAGCAAAGTAATACTTTAAGGACAGAAGCCAGTGTTTTACTATATTGAGTGCTTACTTGATATATTAGATAAAATATTACAGACTACGAATTTTCATATTAGCTTAACATGTAGAGATTTCAGATTATTATCAGCTAGTGAATTCATATACATGAATTGAATCCAAGTTTAGCTAAGGACATCCATAAGTCTAGAAGCACCCAACTTCACCTTTGATCTCTCTCTCTTTTTGTCAGTCATGGGGCTTAAACTCAGGTCCTGAACACTGTCCCTTAGCTTTTTCGGTCAAGACTAGTGCTTTACCACTTTGAGCCACAGCTCCACTTCTGGTTTTCTGGTGAATTACTGGAGATTCCCAGCTGGCTTTGAGCCATGATCCTCAAATCTCAGCTTCCTGAGTAGCTGGGATGACAGGTGTGAGTCACTGGCACCCAGCTTGCTCTCTCATCCTTACGTCTGAAAGGACTGTTTATCTCATCCAGATTGCTTTCAGCTCAGTGCTGGTGGCTCACGCCTGCAACCCCAGTATTCAGGAGACTGAAACTTTTATGATCTTGGACCAAAGCCCTAGCACTGATGTAACACACACAGAAAAAGATTTCTGTCAAAGTTTAAGGCTGTATTTGACATAAAATGCTTGTTACCTCAAAGAAAAACATCAACAAATTTCAACTTTGGAGTAAACTAAAAGCCTAACAGATCATTGAGAACCATGGAAAACTAAGAAACACAGCAGATTCTATCTTCAAAAAGGAAGTTATTTCGGCACTTCATCAAAGTCAGTTGTGTGAGGGAGAAAAAGGAGCAAACTGACCAATGGTACCGAAATCTGAGCGGTAATGGGAGGAACAAGATTTGTCTCCTTTTCTCAGCAACCCTCAGACTCAAAGTGGCCCTCCTTCCAATTCTTCCTCCCTCGCAACTTTGCACTATTATAAATGAACGCCAGGCTCTTTCCAGATGTAGCAAAGTGAGTGAATAAAGTTGTTATTGGCGCGAAAGTCTACATAGCAGCTTACGACTTCTAGTCTCCTAATGAGCATTCTGAGGGTCAAATTAAAGTGCACCATCTTTGCAAATTTTACAGGCAAACATCCTGCCAAAGGTGCACTGATAGAACGGTACTTGACAGTAACCAGAGACTGTGGGAGAGATAAGACACCCCAGCTTTCTCTATTAAAAAAAGGAATTTGCTGACTAGACACTCATGTTTTTGTTTTTACTTCTATAACTCTCCAGAGTTATCAAATGTAACCTTATAGCCAATCCGCTTGAAGACACTGAAAACAGCCTGAAACAGGCCACCCATGGTGCCAAAAGCAGTGTCAAAGAGCAGAGACAGAGTGCCCCCGAGGCCCATGGCGATGTCCTTGCACACAATCGGAATGGCACCCATGGTGTACACAGGAAAGCTGGCCACGTCGACCAGCACACGGATGGGAATGCTCAGGACGCGGCACACGGCCTTCAGCAGGCAACAGAGGATCCGGAGAATGGCCCTGATGACCTTGGCCACGACCTTGAGCACCTTCCAGGGAAGGCTCACCAGCTCTGCCCCAATGGCCACGAAGTAGGACCCAGTGGCCAAGCCCAGGCGGTAGAGACAGCCCTCTATGCCGCTGACTACCTGCTTGGTGACATACCATAGGAGATAGACTGTGTTCCTCAGGATCGCTGCCACTAGGTAATAAATTAGCTGGAAAAGCCGGACGACGGGGGTCACGAAACCCCAGAAGCCACTGCTTCCCGCGGCGGCCTCTGGAGGCCCCAGGGCAGCCCTCTGGCTCCTGGCGCCGGCCGGGGACACAGTGCTCTCCTGAGACTGCAGGGCTCTCTCCTCATCCTGGACCTGATTCACCACCTCCAAGATCTTTTTCATCTTCTCCGTGTCCTGTTCTGCTTCCCCGCAGTTGTCCTGGAAGAGCTGCGGCTGGTGGGGAAGCAGCCTCTCAAGGTCCTTCACCATCACGTCCTCGATGACGCCGCTGCCCTGGGTGTGCTTGATGAAGCCTATGGCCCAGCCGCCACCAGGCGCCGCGCAGCAGGCTGCCAGCCAGACGGACTCGGGGATGGACACCCTGCCTCTGAGCCTGCGGCCCGAGGGCACTGCACCCGCCAGGAGGAACAGGTGGTCCCCGCCACAGTGAGGGAGCAGGGCCCGGTCCATCAGGCTGCGGAGGTTCATGTACCAGCGGTCCCGGAAGGACGGGGTCATGGGGACGGAGTTGGTGAGCGTGAACATGGCCTCATGGGGGTCGTCGTTGAGGGCAAAGGGGTACAGCTGCCCCGGCTGGTAGTCGGAGTCCTGGTAGTCGCTGTTCAGGGCTTGCTGGCTGCCCAGGCCGCTCACGGAGATGGCAGCCTCCGCCTCCTCTGTGGCCTCCTCAAGGCTGCTGCTCGGGTCGTCGATCTGAAAGAGGGAATAGCAATGAAATCTTGCTCTGCTCACAGCTGGGAGGGAGAAGGGGGGAGGGGGCATCTGAACCACTGCCAAAGCTCCAGGGAAGGCCTAGCACTCTGCGGTTTCTAGTCTGGGGTTTAAGGGCTTGAGTCTGACACACACACAACCTCCCTGTTTGAGGGCACCCTTCAAAAGTCACGCTCTGTCCACCACACCTTTGTTCTGCAGGTATGTGGGGAGGGGAAAGAGGAAGAAGTGAGGAAGCTAAGGGAGAAAAGAACAAGAGAGAGGGTGAGAAAGATGGAGGGAAGGGGAGGAGAGAGTGAGGCACGTCTACACACGCCTTACAACAGCTAAACTATATCATCAGCGCAGGTGTCCATCAGCTAGTGAAAAGAGAAGCGTGGTGCACACGCGCATGCACACACACACTGTTCAGCCATAAAAGAATAAAGGTGCTTGGGGAACAATGGATGGAAATGGGTTGTATTAAATGGCATGAGCCAGAGTATCTCCTGTGAAGAATTTGGGCCTTAACAAAATGAATGACATGAATGGAAGTTAGGGACTGCGGTGTGGGGGACCAGTGGGGGGCCTGTGGGTGGTGGGTGAATCAAAGGATGGAGCAACACGGGAGTGAGCATGACAGGAGTACTTGTACACGTAGGTAAGAACAGAACAACTTTAGAAACTGTTAGACACTGTCTTTAGCCAGGTGCCGGTGGCTCACACCTGTCATCCTAGCTACTCACGAGGCTGAGATCTGAGGATCGCGGTTCAAAGCCAGCCCAGGCAGGAAAGTCTGTGAGACTCTCATCTCCAATAAACCACTAGAAAACCAGAAGTGGCGCTGTAGCTCAAGTGGTAGAGCGCTCGCCTTGAGCTGAAGAGCCAAGGGACAGTGCCCAGGCCCAGAGTTGTAGCCCCACAACTGACAAACAAAAAAAACAAAAAACTGTCTTTAAAAGAGTTATAGAGGAGGTGAATTCAAAGTACAGATTATGCAAGTGTGGACATATCACAATGGAGCCCCTTTGTACTGTGCATGTGCACAAATTAAAATCTACATCAACAATGATAAAAATAAACTATACCACCGCCAAGCATTGTCTCTGTTGACTGAGCACTCGGTGAGTTGGAATCATCCAAATATGGGCCATTACTTTACCACATCATTTACGAAATTATACCCCAGGACTGCATAAAAATACCCTGACCAGTCCCCACTGAGGAAGACAGCCATTATTCTAGTCTGCTTCCTTGTTGAAGACCAGTTCTAACCAAGACAAAATTCCTTCCCATCCCAAGATGATGAATGTTTTAATAGACTTTGTTGAAAAAAACCTAAACAAAATAAGCATACCATAACTAATAAGTCACTCACCTCACACAACAACCAAGTAGCGTGGCAGCATCTGCTCTTCCTTCCAGAAGGAAATGAAGGAAAGTCAGAGGGTGTGTGTGTGTGACTAAAATACCTACCTGGCATGTACTACTAGAAACTATAAAGTTATTTGGTGAAAACCATCTCCATATATACTCATACACTGTCTCCGCAAGGGAAGAGGTGTTTTTCATGCTCTCCACAGACAGTAACGATCTGGTTATTTCAATTACACAGCAAATGACTGACAATGCTGCAACCTAACGACAAAAACACACTGATGATGTAAGAGGTGACTTCAGAGCAGTGCCCTGCCAGGGCTCTCCCGGCAGGGCTCCGGAGGCGGAAACAAAGCCCCTGGGTCTGAGCGACCGGGTCTCCCTGGGCTGCCCCTAACTTGATGCAGTTGCTGCAGTTAATGGGAATTTTTTTCCTAATCTCAACACGTTAAGTAGGTTTGTAGAATGGAACCGTCTCCCTTCTACAATCCTCCTACCCCGTAAATAATCCTAATATTAAATTCCTTTTCAAATTGAGTACAAAGAAAAATACGCTTTCTCTCAATAAGCTGGTCTGCTTCCTCATACCAGCTACTTAAACCCTTGGGTTTTGTGTTTTAGAGACTCTGTTTTTGTGATTAAATACATGTAAGAAAAATAAAGGTTGGAAAACTGAAAAGAAGTCCTGGAGGAAAAACAGGCCCCTGTCCCGCGTCTCCTGGGCCTGTCATCCGGGCGACGTGCCCTGGGGAAGGGAACATGGGCATGTTGGTCCTGCACAGGCTGCCCACCCCACAGGGTCACGCCACCCACGAAGAGATATGGTGGGTACCAGGTCGCTCCTGTGAGGGGCCAGGTGTCCCCACCAAGACCTCCAGACCAGTTCTGGGCCTGGGCCACAGAACGGTGGAACTGAGAGCAGACCCCCTGGGAGTGGCAGAGGGTGGCAGGGCTCCAACACACCCGAGGACAAGGAGGCCCTGGAGGCTGGGGGCTGGGTGAAGGGCAGAGGAAACAAGTCCACCAGCATTACCAAGGGCGGTTTAAAGAGCATGCACACAGGCACTTGCACTTGACACGGGGGCAAAGCTATCAGACAAGGACTCCAGCGCATCTTCTCCTAGTGCATGTGGCGTGTAATTCTAGAAGGCTCCTTGAGGACTGGGGTTATCCTGTGCACTTTTTGTCTGCCTGAATCATAGTGATGACCGTGCATATGGTAGGTTCTTGGTGGCTGGGAGGAAATGGTGGCGATAGCAAAGCAGGAATGGTGAGCAAGGTGGAAGACATCAGGAACAGGGAGACAGATATATGGCCCAGGTTGAGGGAAATCTGTCCTGAAACTGCAGGAAGAGGAGAGGAGGGGGACAAGAGGGCATTTCCCTGGGAGAGCAGGAAGGTGACCGGCTGCCCAGCATCCCCGCACCAAGGAATCTGCAAGAGAAAATGGCCTGCTCTGCAGCCCAGAAGGGAGGGCGGGGAAGACAGCAGACCCGAGGGGGAATATGGGAAACCTGTCAGTTGCCTGACAAGACTGGCATGCCTGCCCAGACAGGCAGGCACAGCGGCGCAGGGGAACTCATGGCAAACGGCGCAGAGCAACTCATGGCAAACGGCGCAGAGCAACTCATGGTAAACGGCGCAGGGCAACTCATGGTAAACGGCGCAGAGGAACTCATGGTAAACGGCGCAGAGGAACTCATGGTAAACGGCGCAGAGGAACTCATGGCAAACGGCGCAGAGCAACTCATGGCAAACGGCGCAGAGCAACTCATGGCAAACGGCGCAGAGCAACTCATGGCAAACGGCGCAGAGCAACTCATGGTAAACGGCGCAGAGGAACTCATGGTAAACGGCGCAGAGCAACTCATGGCAAACGGCGCAGAGGAACTCATGGTAAACGGCGCAGAGGAACTCATGGTAAACGGCGCAGAGGAACTCATGGCAAACGGCGCAGAGGAACTCATGGTAAACGGCGCAGAGCAACTCATGGCAAACGGCGCAGAGCAACTCATGGCAAACGGCGCAGAGCAACTCATGGTAAACGGCGCAGGGGAACTCATGGTAAACGGCGCAGGGGAACTCATGGTAAACGGCGCAGGGGAACTCATGGCAAACGGCGCAGGGGAACTCATGGCAAACGGCACAGAGCAACTCATGGCAAACGGCGCAGGGGAACTCATGGCAAACGGCACAGGAGAACTCATGGCAAACGGC